TGTGTGTGTGTGTGTTAGATAGGGAGCAAAATAAAGAGTGAAAAGGGAAAGTAGATGTAGGAACATTTGCATAATCCTTCCACCTAACATCTGTTCAATTATCACAGGAACAACATCCAGACTGACCAATCACAGCAGCATCACCGGGGTAACAGATTGTGTCCACCAGACAGGAGGCCTCCTAATTGGCTCCTGCTATGATCTGGCAAATGGAGAGAGCACGCTAAATTGTGAGTCCCGGAGTAAACCATGTGCAACCACAAGTCATTCACTTCACTCCAAGAGCGTGACAGCACAATGGAAGACTTAAGATAAAATCGAAACCACTTTGTTTTCCTCTGTTGACCTCCTTCATCTCCTGCTCCCTCCATAGTGTTCTCTCTGCCTCAGTGTCGCTACCTGGCCTCTCTGACCTGGCCCGATGCTCCCAGAATGCTCTGCTTTGCGGCGTGGGCCACTGGGAGCGGTGACCACCGGTGGGTCACGGGAGGTCGCGGTCTCATTGTTTGGGAGCAGCTCCCCAGCTCCGGGAAGCAAAGGTGGGTGCGACACCCGCAAACACTGCTCCGGAAAGTTTAGTTTTAAAATACTGAATAATATTCGGTATTTGAATATTCATTATTTCTTCTGAGGTCAGTTGCTAATCCTGGAACTACACTGGGATTTAACAGAGCTTGACACACACTTCTATTGATAATAGGTGTTTAATTAATTGTGGGTGTAAATGTTACAGGGGTGACGTCACGGTGAAGAGAGACAGTCGATTGGACTCGTGCACGCTAGAATCAGAGGAGGAAACAGAAGATGATGAGGAGACTGATGGTATGGACACACACACACAAACACACACACACACGTGCAATTTCACACATCCTCAGGTCATCATTTCATTGACTCACACACTTGATGACTAACTGTGGAATCGCAGTTTCCACTATCATGTTAATTTTAGATGATGCGTGTTGAGACGAATCTGTCTGACCCCCTTGTCATCTGTAGATTACGAAGATGATGATGATGACAACAATGAAGGGGCAGACGGGCGGTGTGATGGCACGGAGGCTGAGGGGCTCGGTGCGTGGCTGCGCTGTGTTCTCCAGTGAGTGCTGGTTTCTCACGCTGAGGACACCATGGCCTGCAACCACGGAGAGGAAATGAGAGGGAGGGAGGGGAGTGAAGTGTGACAGACTGAGTGTCGGAGGGGGAGCATATGGATGGTGTGTGTACATATGTGTGAGTGATAGGCAGATTGTTTTCTATGTAAATATTATTTCCATGTACAATAAAGCCGTCCCACTGTGACTCTGACCTCCAAATTTGCATCTCCTGTTGCCTTTTTTCGATGTCACTCTGACCAGTCTGTCACCCCGCTCTGCCGGTGCATCCTGTGTAAATGAATGGAAATTGAATTATAGTCCTTCTTTATGCCCCTCTCTCTCTCTCTCTCTCTCAACATAATTGAAGAGTTTTTTTTACCTTCCGCCTTCAAAATGAGGTTATTAATGTCATTCTCAGTATCATTTCTGTTTGCTTCGTCAGATTCATTTTCTTTTTCTCCGCGTCCATTTAATTGAACCCATTTTTTGGTAAAAACACACATAATTAGCATTTAAATCTCTTTCCTACAGTCTCTTGCCCTCCCTACATCGCTCTCTCTCCCCTCTTGTACTCTAGCAGACTCTACATGTCTCAGTCGCTAAGGCAACCGATGCTTTTTTTCCCTCCTCACTTGCTCTCTGTATCTCCCCCTTTCTCGCTGTCTCCCTCTCATTCCCTTTCTCCACTGACAGAGGTAGGCATGATAACCGATATGTGTCAGAGTGTGTGTGTATCTGTGTCCGTCTCCCGGCGTTGCTCGTGTGTCTCTTAGTGACATTTCTGTGGCATTTAGGCAGTTAGTTGTAGATGGGGAAGTTGCCTCTCTCGGCTCAAAGTGCCATATAGAGTGCTGGCTCTGTGCACGACGCCTCTAATGATGATTAATGTGCTGTGCTCAGGTGTGTGCACTCTAAGTGTGTGTGAGGGAGCAGAACAGACAATGTACTTCAGGGTGTTTTTTGCATGCAGATGTGGATTTGTGTGAACATGTGGTGCACAATTGACTGTTAAATTTAAAAGCCCGTCGTAGCCCCTGCATGGATTTTTTTTTTGTTGAAAGAAGGTGACAGTTGGCTTTGTGACAGTCTTACTGCTGGTGTCTATGTTTACATGCTTTTTATCTGAGAACATAAAAGATGGAGAGAGAAAAAAAAAGCTGGACCCTCCCCCTTCTCTCCCTCTCTCTATCCCTCTCTTGCCCCTCTGTCTTATCTCACAGAGAGAGATGATCGGAGGAGCAGAGTCTCAGTGAACAGAGCGAAGCGATGGAGAGATGGTAAGATGAATAGTTTGTGAGGTGAAGGAGGGATGTATGTGGTGCAGATGCATAAAATGTCATGGTGAGTGATGGCTAGCATGGGAATCAATGTCTGAGTGCTGGAGGTCATGCAGGGTGCCTGCGGACAGTACATTTTCTCAGATAACTTCTCTGTCACTCCATCACCTCTCATCTTTTCTCGCCTTCATCTCTCTTCCAGCTCCATCTCTCCTGTCGCACGACTGACTGCCCTCGTCTCCCTCCTCCTGATTGCTCTGGTGACACAGCCCTCCACCTGTAACCGGGACGACGCTGAGGGCGAGGAGCAGGTGGACGCCCTGTCGGTCCAGCAGTCCGTCACGGCACAGGTCACACCCACGCCTCTGTGGGCGGTGATCTGGGGTCCCACGCAGCAACTTGAGGACGAGACCTACCACTTCCTCTCAGGCCAGGAAGCTGACCCCTTGCATCATCACGGGAGCCAGCAGGAGGCTGGCGCCGCTACATCCGAGGACTGGCCTCATCCAGGTGCAAGCGTGCAGCCCCGTGAAGAGACACCTTTGGAGTCCAGGGAGGAGGAGGAGGGAGTGGAGGATGGAGGGACGGAGGCGGAGGAGACGGAGCCTGAGGAAGGTGGGCGTCAGGGGATGCACATGAAGGATTTTTAAATCAAGGTGGCCGTGAGCTGCAGTTCATATGAACACGCACACACACACACCAGGAGTCCTCCAGGGAATTAGCTGTCACCGGGGTGAAGGCTGACACCCTGCTGAGTTTGTGGTGGGGAATGCCTAATAAAGTTCTCATCACTCACAGGGAGGAACTGGCCGTCAAGCTGCGAGATAGAGGGAAGACGTCATGGGATTGGTGTTATAGTTGGAGGCTAGAGTCGTGCACATCCAATTTCATGTTTCAGCTGGCTTCACCATATTTCTTCTTTTGTTCTGGATACAATTAGAAATGGTCACGGTCTGAGATTAGTAACGTGTGTGTGTGTGTGTGTGTGTGTGTGCGTGTGTGTGTTACAGTGGACCCTCAGTTCTACGTCACCGTGACCATCTCCTCGCTGCTCATCCTGACGGCTGTCGTCATTATAGCCAAACTCTGGTAGGAACCAAATCTCTCCTCCAAAATCTTTTTTGTGTGTGTGTGTGTGTGTGTGTGGGCATCCCTCAACAAGTGTAAGTGGTCGGAGCTGGACACATGTCCCACAGCAGGAGGAGGACACTAGGGCATCTTGTTTTTTTCTCAGGTAAAAGTTTCTGACAGAAGAATTGTTAAATGCAACAAGGTGCAGATCAGTGGGAGCTGCTTCCATCAATATGGTGGCATTTTGTATCTCTGAATTCTTCCCTTTAAGACTAAAAGGATTAAATTAAGTGTTTGATCTGAAAACATTTTGCAGACCTCCTAGATTATATTTGCTTGGAACAAGCTGATTTAAAAAAATATATAATAAGGGAGTTTCTAATTAAAGCAGGGATGTGTTGAGGTTAACTGTAGAAGGATTTTTAAGAGGCGTTTACAACCTGGGGGTCACGAGTTGAATAATAAACCAAGGGAAGCAGAAAAAAACACAAAATAAGGCTTAAGTTCAATCTCGTTTTCTCCTTTTAATTAATAGATATTTGAAGTTTCTCTAAAAAAAACACAAAAAAGAGAAGGACTAATTGTCCTTTTGTTGAAGGTCTGGTTATTAGTGAAGAAGAATCAGTGACAGAAACGAATCAGAATTGTGCATTAGTGTTGAGAGATTAAAGGAGAAGTGGGGTCTTACTCCTCGTTTACCCCCCAATGGCTCAAGATGAAAATGTACGGACTGGGCCACATGTGCATGTGTGTCTTGTCTGTTTCTCATGAAAATGCAACGGCTCCACAACATGTATATCCTCCCCCCCTGAAGTGAGAGCTGAGTAATCGCTTACTAATGACTTGTGTGTTCCTGAAAGTCACAGTTGGCACAGATGTGTCATTTAGTGCCATTAGAGCGGCAATGATTGAACAGTCAGTCCGGCCATTAGGACGCCGACAGAAAAAAACAACAAAAAACCCAGATCTGTTGTCTCACAGGCGTGAGAGGGGCCATTAAACCTGTCAGAGCATGTGAACATGGAGGGGTTGTGGTTGGGGTGAGGGGTGAGGGGTGGGTTTTGTACATGTTGCTATAGCGCTTTAGAAGCAGCCATTAGCGCGAAATGGGGGGAGTCATCTCTGTGATGTAGTGGAGCACTTCCACGCTTTGCTGATCAAACCAATAACACCTGGTTTATTTAACCGCTGGGACTCCACTCTCTTCCCGTACTCTCCTTGTCTTCCTCGCCATTTATACTCCTATTACCCCCCCCCCCTGTATTCCCCTTATCAATCCATCTCAGCCACATTTCTGTTGTATCATACTTTGCCTCAGTCTGTATAATTTGTTCTCCCCCGATATCCCCCATTTTTCCACGCTCTCTCTTAATCTCAATTTTGCTCCCACACTCCTCCATTATCTCCCTCCTCCTCCTCCAATGTAGGCCTCCTTCCTCTTTTTTCCTCACACTTTTCTTGATTTCTTTCTCAGAATACCTCGTGTTCCCCCCCACCCCCTCTCCTCCTCCAGGTTTTCCACTCACTTCCAGTTATCTCCATTGCCTCACTCTCTAACGCAGCCTGTCTTTGCACAGCCGGCGCTCCTCTTATCTCCCTCACCAGTCTCCTATCTCTCCCAGCGCCGCCAGTCCGGCTGCAGATCCGCAGATAATCCTCCGGCTTGCCGTGAGCTGATACACGATAAGCGCCCCCCCTCCCCACTATTCTCTCTGTTCTTGAAACCCGCCTGCCACTGTTGTTTCGATTACTTACTTCTCCAGGCCCCCGTGCTGCCGGTCTCTTCCACAGAGGGCCTTACTAAAGTGAGAACTGTGGAGGGATTCAGACTGGAGACATGGCAGCAGCTCGTCTCTATACACTGCCACGTGCTTCAGTGTCATAAATGTGTAAATAATGCCATGTGTTAGATGGGGGTGGGGGGTGCAGATGGACTGAAGTCATAGCCTATAGTGGAAATTGGCCCCAGTCCACTTCATTATGAGTATAGAGGAGCGGCATATGTGCTCAGTGATTCTCCCGGCCCTAAAATTGACGGTGTGGCTGTAATGTCATCAAGCGTGACTGTGTGTGTTGGATGTGTGTTTGTGTGTGTTCACGCTGCACAGGGTGTGTGTGGAAGTGAGCCAGGAGAGGACAGGTGTTACTGAGGGAGGACGAGGCAGCGAGAGCAGCTTTGTTGTGCATCTTAAGTATTCTTAAGAGCCTCAACCCCGCTGACTCTCCACCGTAACTCACCCATTGAAGGCACGCCGGCTCACTGAAGTGTCAGCCCCTCTGTCCACCGCCTCACCTTGTTGCATCCCTCCCATCCCTCCCTCCATCCTCCCATCCCTCGCTCTGCCTCCCTCTCTCCCCTCTGACAGCGTTTTAATGAGTCCGATGAGTGCACTAATTCTCTCTCACAGTGGCAGTGTAATGTGTTCGCTGATGCTAAATGGCTCGGCTGTTCTTGGTGCTCTCTCACTGTGTTCCTCCGTCTCTCTCTCTCCTTCTGTCTTTTGTCTTTCTGCTCTTTTTTTCCCCTCTGTATCCGTTTCTCTTTGTGTCTTCTCTCATTTCAAACTCTCCCTCTATCATTTCCTGCTGTCTCTCTCTAACCTTCTTTCACTTTAATCTTTCTTTTTTTGTCTTCTGATCTCTATTTATATTCCTGTCTCTTTTACCTTAATAATCTTTTTCTTTTCCCATCCCTCTTTTTTCTCTCCTCCACCTCCACCCTTCTTCTTTATTCCCTATCCTTCTCTGTATTCTTCCTTTTATTCTCAATCTTTATTCCTCTTATTCCCAATTTCATTTCCTCCCTCCATCCCCTCTTCCCTCTTTGTTTCTTTCTAACCTTCTTTCACTTTAATCTTTCTTTTTTTGTCTTCTGATTCCTATTTATATTCCATTACCTTAATAATCTTTCTTTTCCCATCCTTCCTTTTCTCTCTCCCACTCCACCTCTCTTCTTCACTCTCTATCCTTCGCCGTATTCTTTCTTTTATCTTATATGTATTTATCCCTCTTTTTCCTAATTTCAATTTCTCCCTCCCTCCATCCCCTCTCTTTCTACAACCTTCTTTCATTTTAATCTCTCCAACTTTCTTACTTGTCGTCTGATCTCTATTTATATTCCTGTCTCATTTACCTTTATAATTCTGATCGTTTCCTTTTTACTTCCCTCCTTTTCTCTTTGCCCCTCCACCTCAACCCCTCTTCTTCACTCCCTCGCTCTGTGTCCTTTACATTTTTCATTTCTTTATTCCTCTTTTCCCCAATCTCAATTTCCACCTTCTCCTCCTCCTCCCTCTCTCTCTCTCTCTCTCTCTCTCCATCTTATCCGCTGGACCACTCTTTTCTCCCAGTTATGATCGCAGTTGTTCCCAGCATCCACCCCCACTCTCTCGTGGCGTGGCGCCCCCCCTCACCCTTGCGCTCCCTCGCTCGCTCGCTTCAGAGGACAGCCGGCAGACGTTGCACAGCACCTCCTCCTCCTTCACCGACAGGGAGAGGTAATGAGTCGCCTGCACACACAGAGAGGGTGTGTTTGTGTGTGTGTGTGTGTAAGTCTATAAGTCTGATGTGCATGTGTCACTGTGCACCTCTGGACTCAAGAAAACTTTGTGTGTGTGTGTATGTGTGTGTGTGTGTGTGTGTGTGTGTGTGTGTGTGTGTGTGTGAAGCAGTCTTATTACCCCTTGTGTGTGCACTGTAAGCATGTACACGGACTATAATTGGACAGTAGTGTGATTCTCTGTGGAGTATTCAGGCCTGAAGATGTATCAGTGTTTTAAACTCTCTCTCCAGATGAGTCATCGTGGGCCTGTGCAAAGCTGGCCAGCCCCCGTCCACCAAATGATGCTTGTATTCCAGGGTATTTAAAGTTATTCTCAATCAGGACAATTATAGAGCTGTACTCCAGTGCCCCCCCTCCCCACACACACTTCCCCCACACCTTCCTCCACTCTCTCTTTTTCGTCTCCCCCCCTCACCGCCACCATCCCTCAGTCCCCTGTGATGCTGCTTACTGTTTGCGTGTACACCGCTTTTCCTGCTCCGGGCCTCTCTGCTCCACTTCTCCTCTGTCTTTCCTCCCATCAACAGGGCTCCAAAGCAGCCCACCACCCTCCTCCTCCTCTTTTTTTTATTTCCTTCTCCTCCAATCCTTCCCTTTTTCTCACTCCTCTCTGTCTGTGTCTCTTGCTGTGTCAGGATCCCAGTTGTGAACCTCTGAGGTGACTGTTTTTCCATATGGTAAACATTTCTACGGGGCCCGAGGAGGAGCATCAACACGACCAGAGGACGTGCCCGCAGTGCTGTTTTTATTCTTCTCTGAAACTGTGAAATGAATTCAGGGATCCCAGGTGTGCAGCCATGACAAAACTCCTTGGCTTCCCTGAGGTCTGAAAAACACAAACTCATCTCCCTGCTATACTTCCTTCCTTCATATTCCCTTTGTTGGGTTTAAATTTCCTTTTCTGTGTCTCTGCGTCACTGTCACCTGTTCCGTTTTCCATCCTCTGAATGGCCTCGAGCTCTTGCAAAGCATCCCGACCACTCTGTGCATCGACCTGCCATGACTAATTCACAAACAAGCCGTTTAACAGCCATCGCATCATCCCATTGCCCCTGAAATGCCCTACCTGTGCTTCCACAACTGTTTCCATTGATTCAGCCACACACACACGAAGCTGTTCTGTGTTCAATCTCATCTAGGAGACTGTTCCTTCATGAAGTAACACTCAAATTCAGCACAGTTTACAGCAGGCTTGTGTCTGGCTTACAAATGGTAAAAAAATAATAAAAAAAAAAAAGCCATTCTGAGCATCTCTAAACAGAACGAGGTATTTCACAAAGCTGTTTGGCACGGCTGTAGCCAACAGGCAATGCGTTTAACATGTCACGCTCCAAAAACTGCTGTTTATTCCCCGCTTCGGGCGCCTGGAATGCAAATAGTGTGGCTTATTTCCCCCCGCAGTGTAGAAGAGTCTGTTTTGTCTCAGTTTTTCCTCATGATTTGTTCTCTTAATTATCTGGCTGACGTGCACCTCTTTGTTGAGCCTTTGCGAGCACCCTTTGTTCCCGCTGGACCATGTATAGGTGTGTTATAAGCGTTAAAGTACTTTCACTTGGCAGAGATTAAATCTTCAAAACGGGAACAGATAGAAGAGGCATTCCTGTTGATAATCGATGAGTCCCAAAGGTTTCTGAATGATTGTGTCTTCATAGAAAAGAGAACTCAAAGGACTGATGTTGCCACAGCAAGGATCCCCCCCCCCCC